TGTGGCTCGCCGTGATCGTATAGTGGTTAGTACTCTGCGTTGTGGCCGCAGCAACCTCGGTTCGAATCCGAGTCACGGCAGTGACGTTCGTCTGGGCCATCAGCTCCCTTTTGCTCTCAGCAACCCAGCTCCTCAAGCGCCCAGGGTGCTGATTGAGCGCTGGAGGGAGGCGATGTTCGCTGACCCAACAAAGACAGCAGGTGGAATAGGCACAAATGGAAAACTGTTGCCGGTGCCCTAAGCAGAAGGCAGGTGCGAGCGGGAGCCAGGGGGGTGAAATGCTCAGACTCGGCAGAGGCGGCAGCCAGAACCGCGGGGGTGAGAGGGCGCGGTGGCTGCGGAGGGGGAGCCGCTGCTGAAAGGAGGCCTGTGTTGTCGTGTGGGTGACTGTCGGTGGAAGCTTTGGAGGAGAGTGGTTTGGAAGAATGGCGATGGACTTGACGGGCAGAGGAAGGTGGGGACCCTGAGCGTCCTGCCAGGGGACAGGAGGCTGTGCTGTCCCTCCTCTTCCCTTACCTGGCAGGGGAGAGAACGTGGTCCGGAAGGGGCTTCTCCCTGGACGAGGCTAGTCCACCGCACTTCAGCTGCACTGGCCCCTGCAATTTCCCCACACCGGCCCTCGTAGGCCGTGGTGTTTGTGCCACCCCGCGGCTGGGTTCCTGCACTCTCCTGCCTTGCCTTGGCTCACCGCTGACGGGGATATCGCCCCGGAGACCCTTCGCCGCCCTCCTAGGGATCTTGAGGGCGCTTCCTTGGTGTTCTCACTGAAGCTCAGGAACAGGCAGATATAAGCTCTGTTTTTTACACGCTGAACTTGGATATTGACAAAAAAGCCCTGACCCAGAGCTTGGGTCTCCTCCGGGCCTGCACATGACTCGCGACTCTCCGCCTCCCGCCTCCAAGCGCAGCTTTTGGCTCAGGGATGGGCAGCGCCCACCCAGCGTGGAACCCCCGCAGCCGCAGCCCCTGCAGGGTGGCGGGCAGACACTAGCAGGAGAAAGAACACAAGGCGTGCGTGGTGGGAAGCACGGGAGATGTCACTTTCCCACCAGGCGAGAAGGTCTTTGGAGACAGGACAGAAGGACGCACCCCTTCCAGGAACAAGGCGGCTGCTCCTGAGGCCTGGCTTCGCACGGAGGCTCCTGGGTCCCTGCGCCCTCTCTCTACCCGCTGCAGCCAGAGTGCTTCAGACATCTCAGCCGGCTTCCTCTTCCGCCTCTGCCTCCTCTTCCTCCCCAGCTGTCCTTGGGACAGCAAGGCCCCCAGCCCGGGGCAAAGACCTAGCCTCCTCTCCAGCAATTGGAAAGGGAGTTGTATGCACGCCTCCTAACCCTAGGAGGACAGAGACCCTGAGGTGGAAAGACACCCCCTCCCCCCGCCCCCTTGCTGCTTCTCTGGGCACAGCTAGTCCAGGGGGCCGGCTGAGGGCCCAGTTCTCCTTGCTCCTGCTAGAGCGCCTGGGTCGTGTGGCTCAGGGAGCTGGCCACGTGGGCATCTCCCCCACTGCTCCTCAGGGAACGGGAGGCATTACCCTGTAGGACCCACTCTTACCCATGAGAGACACTCGGGAAAACCTCCCGCGGAAGCCGGGGCTCTGCAGCTTAACCGCTTCGGGGTGAAGCTTGCGTCGGCCCTTCCTTCCTTCGGAGAGCCTTGGGGAGAGGAGGAAAGCTCCAGGACAACAGGCTTTGCAGCATCTCCACGGAGTCCAGAGGAAACGAGGGCGCCGTCTTCCTGGAAGAAGGCGGCCCGAGGCGAGGCCTGCGGTCGGCCGCAGGGAGGCTTGTGGAGCAGGAGTGCCCTTTCTCCAC